AACAGGAACTGAGGAGACGTCAGAACGATTGGAAAGACAACAACAAAAACTGAGGAGACGTCAGAACGATGGGAAAGCCAACAACAGGAACTGAGGAGACGTCAAAACGATGGGAAAGACAACAACAGGAACTGAGGAGATGACAGAACGATGGGAAAGACAACAACAGGAACTGAAGAGACGTCAGAACGATGGGAAATACAACAACAAGAACTGAAGAGACGTCAGAACGATGGGAAATACAACAACAAGAACTGAAGAGACGTCAGAACGATGGGAAAGACAACAACGGGAACTGAGGAGACGACAGAACGATGGGAGAGACAACAACAGGAACTGAGGAGACGTCAGAACGATGAAAAAGACAACAACAAGAACTGAGGAGACGTCAGAACGATGGGAATGACAACTACAAGAACTGAAGAGACGTCAGAACGATGGGAAAGACAACAACAGGAACTGAGGAGACGTCAGAACGATGGGAAAGACAACAACAGGAACTGAGGAGACGACATAACGATGGCAAAGACAACAACCGGAACTAAAGAGACGACAAAACGATGGGAAAGAAAGCAACAGGAACTGAGGAGACGTCAGAACGATAGGAAAGACAACAACAGGAACTGAAGAGACGAAAGAACCATGGGAAAGAAAACAACAGGAACTGAGGAGACGTCAGAACGATTGGAAAGACAACAACAGGAACTGAAGAGACAACAAAACGATGGGAATGTCAACATCAAGAACGGAGGAGACGTCAGAACGATTGGAAAGACAACAATAGGAACTGAAGAGACGACATAACGATGGGAAAGACAACAACAGGAACTGAGGAGACGTCAGAACGATGGGAAAGACAACAACAGGAACTGGGGAGACGTCAGAACGATTGGAAAGACAACAATAGGAACTGAAGAGACGACATAACGATGGGAAAGACAACAACAGGAACTGAGGAGACGTCAGAACGATTGGAAAGACAACAACAGGGACTGAGGAGAAGCCATAACGATGGGAAAGACAACAACAGGAACTGAGGAGACGACATAACGATGGCAAAGACAACAACAGGAACTAAAGAGACGACAGAACGATGGGAAAGAAAACAACAGGAACTGAGGAGACGAAAGAACGATGGGAAAGACAACAACAGGAACTGGGGAGACGTCACAACGATTGGAAAGACAACAATAGGAACTGAAGAGCCGACATAACGATGGGAAAGACAACAACAGGAACTGAGGAGACGTCAGAACGATTGGAAAGACAACAACAGGGACTGAGGAGAAACCATAACGATGGGAAAGACAACAACAGGAACTGAGGAGACGTCAGAACGATGAGAAAGACAACAACAGGAACTGAGGAGACGTCAGAACAATGAGAAAGACAACAACAGGAACTGAGGAGACGTCAGAACGATGGGAAAGACAACAACAGGAACTGAGGAGACGAAAGAACGATGGGAAAGACAACAACAGGAACTGAGGAAACGTCAGAACGATTGGAAAGACAACACCAGGAACTGAGGAGACGACATAACGATGGGAAAGACAACAACAGGAACTGAGGAAACGTCAGAACGATGGGAAAGAAAACAACAGGAACTGAGGAGACGTCAGAACGATTGGAAAGACAACAACAGGAACTGAAGAGACGACAGAACGATGAAAATGACAACAACAGGAACTGAGGAGACGTCAGAACGATGGGAGAGACAACAACAGGAACTGAGGAGACGACATAACGATGGGAAAGACAACAACAGGAACTGAGGAGACG